GCACACTTTGGCTCCTGAGACCTGTGAAATCCCCCATTTCCTCAGCCACCCTCCGGGCTCCCCAACACCCCTTCCAAAGCTTCTGCCAAAAGGCTGTGCAACAACTCTTCCCAGATAAGTTGGGACTTCAACCCCCAGGATCCCCAGCCCGTTGCATTCCCAGGACTGTGAGGCTGGGAACGGAGTTTTCTGGACAGCAGAATCATGACATTGGCTGATCTCTCGTACCCGCCCAGGACATCATCTTGAAACGGGCAGCGGATATTGCCGAGGCCTTGTACAGTGTCCCGCGCAACCCTAACCAGCTGACATCCCTGGCCGGGAACCACGGGCACTCGGGCATGATGGGCGTCAACTCCTTTGGGAGCCAGCTGGCCGTCAACATCAGCGAGTCCACTCAGGGCTCAGAGCAAGGTAGGCCAAGAAGGGGACGCTGTGCTCTTTCACATAACTGGAACCGTCCCAGCTGAGGACGCCCATCGAATGACTTTCATAATCTGGCACTTGGGGGGTAGACTCCTCCTAAACCTGGACGCTCCATGTGCCAATCCATGCTAAGCACCGTCTGGCTAGAGTTCTCTTCCTCTCAGCTCCCTGGGGGGCAGAGAAGATTGGGTTTTCTCTCTGTCTGCCCTGCAGGATACCCGCGCAGCGCAAGCAGCGTCTCGCCCCGGGGCTACGTGCCCAGCTCCACCCCACAACAGAGTAACTACAACACGATCACGTCCAGCATGAACGGTTACGCGGGGGCCGCCATGACCGGTCTTGGGGTGCCAGGGTCGCCCAGCTTTCTCAACGGCTCCACTGCCAACTCCCCCTATGCCAGTGAGTATCATGGCTGTCTGACAGAGACCTCTAACTGGGCACCGGTTGGATTACTTGCTTGCCATGGAGGATCCTTGTGGGCAACTTGGGGGGAATTTTTTTGGAGCAGGTGTAAGTAGGCTGGGGAAAGCCCTTGGCGGTGAAACGTCTCTTCCTGCAGGAGGGACGGTAGCGTAGGAGCCTTCTGAGCTGGCTCTTGGTCCATCTCGCCTGCCCAGCTGAGCTGGACTCAGCTCCCCCAAATCAGAGAGAGCGGGTCTGTCCCACCCATCCCATTCTTTTCCATGGGAGTGTGGGGAACTGTCTGGGCAGGCAGGCAGGGTGTGGGAACATGGGGCCTAGCCGCACCAGAAACCTGTGGGAAGAGAAGCCAGATGAGATCCACCACTTGCTGGCCATCAGCCAAAGCTGCAAGAGAGTCCCAGACACCCGAAAGGTCCAAATCCAGATCAGGGTTCAAGCAGGCGCCCTGTTATCCAAGGAGTGGTTCTGGCAGCCCCAAGAGAAAACATGGTTTCCAACCCTTGGTGATTACTCCCTCCAGAATGCTGGCCTACTCAGGAGTAGCACCTATTCTCACACAGGTCTCGACTTCTTAGGAGCCCTTCCTTGCAGGCATGCGTCTGGTGGTGCTGTTGGGTGATCCATGGGGTTTCTGGCCAGAGTCCAGGACTGTAAGAACCCCCTTGTTGTGGGCCTTGGTTCCCCACCAACCATGCTGGAGACAAACTCTGGACTTCGATTGGTTTGGGTGCCCAGATCCAGTTCATCCAAGAGACCACTGGGGGAGATGGGTGGCATACAAATTTAATCAATCAATCAATCAATCAATCAATCTCTGGAAGAGGGCATGACCTCCCCGGACACACCAAAGATCTGGGGGAGGCTCCCTGGGCTGGAAGATTTCCTTCTAGCCCCTTGGAAGACCCAGGTCCTTCCCAAAACCTGGAGAGCAAAGGGGACCTTGGCATGCAAAACTGTTTCCAGTTCACGGCCAAAATGGGGTTAGAAGGTTGTGGGGTTTGGCACAATGGCGGAGAACGAACGGAGGAGCAGGAAAGCCAGCCCTCCCCTCTGCCCAGGGCTTGAAGCTCTCCCCTCCTCTGCCCCACTGACCCCTCTCCCTCTGTCCCACACAGTCATGCCATCCAGTCCGCCCCTGGGGGCCTCCTCCACCCCAGCCGGCGTCTTCTCCTTCTCCCCCGTCAACATGATCTCGGCGGTCAAGCAGAAAAGCGCCTTTGCTCCCGTCGTCCGGCCACAGGCCTCCCCGCCCCCTACTTGCACCAGCACCAACGGGAGCGGCCTGCAGGGTAAGTCGGCCTCACGGCTTGTCTTCCACCAGGGCTACAATCCTGGTGACCACAGCAAACTTGTGACCTCCCCTATGGATAGTCTAGGACAGTGTTTCTCAACCTTGGCCGCTTGAAGATGTGCGGACTTCAACTCCCAGAATTCCCCAG